AAGGGTGGTTTTATAATCCATCGTTTGAAGACTTCGAGAGTAGAAATATAGATGCCATACCACAAGATGCAAACAAATTTTAATTCTATATCCCAGAGCTTAGTATTTTTTAAATTTTTCCTTTTGTGTATGTGAGAAAGGCTATTATTAAAAAAAATGTTCTGAACTAGTTCTGCGTCGAAGCGAGCTTGCGCCGAATTGGACTTGCGTCGAAGTAAGTCTGCGCCGAAATGAGCCGGCGCCGAAGTGAGCCTACGCCGATGTAGGTCTGCGCTGAAATTCTGACGCCGAAGTGTCCTAAACACCTCAAAAATTGTTTCATCAAACCCAATTTTATATGAAGTAGTGACAAAATTATGTTTTCCTTGGCCACTAAAACCTTACATATAACATTATGTGAACCAATTGTTGAGATAATTGTTAATGGGGATTCTCTCTCTCTCTCTCTCTCTCTCTCTCTCTCTCTGTGTGTGTGTGTGTGTGTGTGTGTGTGTGTAGTGTTCACCTTGAGATCAGCTGTCTCACTGACACGAAAAACACATAAATTTCATATAGGTTTCCTGTAATCCATTCAGAATAACGATTAGCTTAATATTTGCATAGAGTAACCACTGATGATCATTGTATTTAATTTTGGTTAAAATAAATCAAAATTTTCGTGAGATTCTTTTAAAACAACAGAATAAGATAAAGGAATCGATGGTGGTATATTTCCAATATGCAAAAGCATTACTTTATTGCTATTAAGATAGGCATCAATAAACAGCTGCCACTGAGTCGGCTCATACTGTATAGAAATTGCTTCAAAAGAAACTATTTTTGTAAAGTGTCCGCATTACTAAATTCCTCTCTTTTAGCCTCGAAGCTATCAGCTCATTCTGCTGTTTTTTCAAGACTAAATCTCTTACAAGATCATTAAGATCATGCTGTGACAGAGGTTTTGTCGCGTATGTGTTGCATAGGTATCGTCTTTTTGTCCAGGAAATTCATTTTCTGATTCGTCTGAAACAGACCCGACAATTTCCGTTGATGGTTCAGGCACTGAAGCTTCTTCTGAGAGGGTTTGCAGGCCGAATATCAGATTTAACTTTGGGATATTACCACGGATGAAGCAAGTGTGAGTTTCTTCTGAGTGGGGGTACAGGTCGAATAGCAGATTAAATTTTGGGATATTACCACGGATGAAGCAGAAGTGAGTTTCTTCTGAGCGGTGTTACAGGCCAAATAGCAGATTTAACTTTGGGATATTATCACGGATGAAGCAAGAGTGAGTTTCTTCTGAGTGGGGGTACAGGTCGAATAGCAGATTTAACTTTGGGATATTACCACGGATGAAGCAAGAGTGAGTTTCTTCTGAGTGGGGGTACAGGCCGAATAGCAGATTTAACTTTTGGATATTACCACGGATGAAGCAAGAGTGAGTTTCTTCTGAGTGGGGGTACAGGCCGAATAGCAGATTTAACTTTGGGATATTACCACGGATGAAGCAAGAGTGAGTTTCTTCTGAGTGGGGGTACAGGTCGAATAGCAGATTTAACTTTGGGATATTACCACGGATGAAGCAAGAGTGAGTTTCTTCTGAGTGGGGGTACAGGTCGAATAGCAGATTTAACTTTGGGATATTAACACGGAAGAAGCAAGAGTGAGTTTCTTCTGAGTGGGGGTACAGGCCGAATAGCAGATTGAAGTTTGTGATATACCACGGATGAAGCGAGAGTGATCTCTTCGGCCGAATAGCAGATTTTAACTTTGGGATATACCACGGATAAAGAACTCTTCATTGTTATACCTGAGGAAATGATGAATATACATTAAACATAAGTCTACTATAATCCTAATGTGTAGGATATTATTAAAAAAAGTTCGATGCGTTTAAGTATTAAGGCTTAATAGCAACAAAATATACTTACATTATATGTCTACTAAACAAAAGTAACAGTCAGTGGCGTGATCTGAGAGTTCACGCCAGTCCTTTGGCATTCCAAATGGAATGTTATTCAATTTTCTTTTCGACCATTTTGCAAGAGTATTGAAGCATGTTGTCGTACTCATGATTTATCTTGTTCGACAAGTTTGATGCCAAAATATAAATTGTATAGTCTTGTAACAAGAGAGGTAATATTTCTTTTATTCTTTTTAAAAGTTACAGAACTACATATGTAGCAGAATTTATTTGGACTATTTTTACATTTACTTCATGGGATTTCTTATTATTTTTTGTATAATCTGAAATTAAGAAATAAATATTTTGTGTCTCGCAACTACCCCAGGTAGTTGAGAAACTACGTAAAATGTTGGAAAAAGATATTTTGGAACATGTCCCGGTTGGGACTAAATGATAATTACCAATAGTACTTCCGAGAAAACCAAATGGTGATCTTAGAATCCGTGATGTCTGTAAAGTAGATATAAACCATAAGATTTGTTCGGATTCTTATTCCATCCCAAACATTGAATATATAGTACATCCGTTAGCCGGAATGAAATGCTTCACGAAAAATTATCTGAACAGTGCATGCCATCAAATTCAAATTTGGAAGATGAAGTACTACCAGTAATGAGCATATGTTTATAAGTAGAAGTTATCTATAGGCTCACTACGTAAGCTAGTGGCAATGGTACTTGTCCTACTCTTAATGTAAATATCTCTCAGTTGCGTTTCTGTCTTCGTTAGAGAGCAACTCAGTTGTATCTGTCTGCGGACAGAGCACAACTGTAAAAATATTGAGAGATGACTTCTCCCGTTGAAAATCTCTCCGAGAACGTAGTCCCTCATTGCCCCAAATTGGGAGATCGCCAGTAATACCGATGTCAATGCAACCGACGATTGTGTGTATTGGTAAATTTGGGGCGCTGGTCCAAGTTTACGCGCTCAGCTGTCCCACATGAAGTCGACATTGTGTTACATCTGTCACTGTGAGGAGACAAGTAAATACCATGGTACTGGTCCTGCTCATACACTTGTCATTTCTTGGTTGTGTCTCTGTCTTCGGACAGAGCGCAACTCAGGTATGTTTTTGTCTGCGTCAGTTCCTCTCTCATTGCACTAAAGCTGGGGGATGTGTAGAAATACAAATGATGTCTTTGCCTGCGGTCTGAGCGAAACTGAAAAATATTGAGAGGTGCCTAGTCCCGGTGAAAAGTAGCCCACGGAAGCACCTCCCTCATTGCACTAAAGCTGGTGGATCAGTAGTAATAGCGATGCCAACATAACCGAGAGTTGCGGGGATTGGCAAGTTTTTGCTCTGGCCTGGATGAACACACTCGAATGGCCTACATTAAACCGACTTTGTGTCGCATCACGTCACCTTGAGGAGGGGGGGGCAAGTACTTGTCTTGCTCGTACTGTTAGCATCTCTCAGCAGAACGTAACTCAGTTTTGTCTCTCTCAGCGGACGCCCGAAATTAAAATGACCTTGTGCCACTTCCCTTTACTCTCGGGGTCGAGTAAAAATATCGTACTTGGAGTGTTGGTAGTGGTACGAGCATTGTTATGTATCACTGACAGACAGATGAGTTCACTACATGGTCGAGAATATTACACCAGTCTAAGTGGGCCATCCTGCATGCAGTACCTATGCTTTGGAAGGGGTCTAAGACGTCTCCAAAATGAAAAAAAAATGCAATGGTCTTAAGAATTTTTCTACGATACTGCCAATAAACCGACATTAAACTCGACCTTGTTCCACATTTCGTTGCGTTGTTGATGCACGTCTAAATACTTTTGTTCTTGGACATTTCAACCAATGGTGACTGCGTACAACAGCAATTCTGCGACAGTACATCCTCATTATACTAAAGAAATGGGACTGGTAGTAATATGGATACCAGCGTAACCGGTGGCTTGCGGGTGCTAGAATATTTGGGGCACTAGCCTGAGTGCACGCTATCGTGCTCCCCACGTCTAACCGACCTTGTGTCACATATCGTCAACGTGTGAGTGTGGCGTGTAAATATATAGTACTTGGACAGTAAGGGATCTTGTACTGTTGCCAGTATAACGAGCAATGCGTCGTATAAATGTCCGGCAGTGTAGCGAACTTACAATTCGTTAATCTATTTGTTCTTCGAAAGAAAAATGCCATGTTTACTTGATTTCAGAAGGCGTATGCATATATATATATATATATATATATATATATATATATATATATATATATATATATATATATATAATTCTATATTAACTGTCTTTATATTTATGTAGAGAGATGTGTGACTGGCGGAGATAGACCACTCGTAAACATAAATAGCGCGCACAAAAATAACAACACTGCAGTAGACTGTCCTTTTCACGTCATTATCGATCATGGGACGATATGTTAATATTATTTGTGTTTTCTTTATATCTATGGTGGCGGCGAGCTTATATCAAGCGTCGGAATATTTAAATTTGTTCTTCCTAGATAATTTGATGGCAAATAGTTTTCACCGAAATAAAAAAATAGATTATTTTAAAACTGAAATGTCGTTTGACCATAATGTGAAAGAAAATAAAAATATAAAAAACAGATTTTGAAACAGAGTGAACAGTGGATTTTATTTCCTTAATAGAATTGTTTTAGAAAAGAATCGCTGTAAAAAGATATTTACAAAATCCAAAGGTTGCGTGAGAAGAGATGAGTAGCGTGTATATAGGAAATGGTTCGCGAATTCCAAACTAAGGAAATAATATTGAATTCCCCGTGGTTTTTGAGAAAATATTTTTTACTAATTAAAAAATTATATATGGAAAAATACTGAGCAAAGTCGTCAATAGTTTATTTCAGCATATCTGCTTAACCATTTCCTTAGAGTTGTAAACATAATCGACAAGATGCATGGCAAATTAAACTCATTCGGCAAAACTGTCGATCAGTTATTTCTTTCTTAAACTAATTTATTTTATTCCAGAAGATTTCTTTTCATTACATTAAGCATTTCCTTATTGAACTTTTCAGTTTATCCGTATTTTTTATTCTAATAAAATTCATGATGCAAAATGTTTACATATTAATTCTTTATATCGAGCGATTCAAAGCAGTCTTAGCTTCTAATTGATATTCATCCTTTTCCCTAGAAAAAGAAACAAGTAAACAAATTAGTTAACAAAATATAAAATATTGTTTGTCATTTCACACAACCAAAAATATTGTTTGTTATTTTACACATTCAAGGTGATAATGCCACTCAGACACCAGGGGTTACAGAGAGTGAAAGAAAATGAAACTAAATTAGTGAGAAGGAAGGACAATAAAGAACAGGTTTCGGAAAGATAGAAAATGACACCTACCGTTGCATTAAAACTCTTGGGATCATATGTGTAAAAAAAAAAACCGGGAGAGAGCTCCAAAGGCCAGGGGCGTTCTGACGAGCTACATTCCTAAGACTCACAAGTCATGACCTTTACCACTAGGATCCGCCATGTCACGTACACAAAATGAATTATCCTCCTTCCCTACATATTCAAGGAAGAGAGTTTATTAGAAGAACTGCCATGGAAATATTTATAGAAAAGACACGTCACGGCTACGTCACGGCTGTGCGAACGTGACTGAAGTCGAATGCCACTTCAGGACCGATAACATTACAGACCCATCTTTGGATTCTATCGAGAATCTTGAGATATACAGCAGGAGCCGTAGAACGGGTTTATTTTATTTGTCAAATATGTACATCTGATGAATCAGAATTTGTCTTTTGTTTTAAGTAAGGTATCATATTTATAAGTTTCTTGTTGATGAGTAAGTTTTGATACTGATGTTTTATATATATATTATCACTTTACTGAGTTGAGAGAATAAGAAACTTCCTTTGTTGTGTCGTCAATGTTTTCTTATTATTTCCCCTCTACTACCTCTAGGCATTCATTGAAGTCTAGTCCAATCAAATATCATTGCACGTGATCCAAATTGTTGATAATTATTTACCTAATGTTCTCCATTTTTGCTGAAATAAACTACTATTGTTAATATATCGTTTTGTTTTAATATATATTCTTCACTTATAACAATATAGACAACATATACTGACCCGTAAGTGAGTTTTGTCCCATCAGATTTTAATTTATTAGTGGATATGTTGGTATTTCTCTTCCTACAAACTGAAATGATATTATCATAAATTTACCTAATGTTTCAGATGAAAAAAATCCATCCCAAGTAGATTTCCTATCCATCGTAACTTTTGGAATATTTTAGCTTTAATGATTTAGTTTCATCGCAATTTACACCTAATTTAATATACTCCAACTAGTTGCAATCTTCTCTATATATCTATCCCGTCTCTGTCTCTCTCTTTTTCTTCCTCTCCGATGGGTGGGGCTGTTCATGGTCCTCACCTGCTTATTGCATTGCTTTGCTTAAAGCAATACATTCTCCTTTGTGACCTTTCTTTTATTTGTAGAAATTGTTATTCTGTTATTCTAAAATCTTTAAGGAAGATATTTGCAATTTTCTTTTAGTTCTGTTCACTTTGATTTGCGTCTGTATAGTTCTTATTCTACTTAGAAATTGTTCATTCATCGCATTGAAAAGGCAGAAGGAAACCACTCCACTCTTTCTTCGAAATGTAATCCTCACAATTCAAAGCTTGCAAATATCCATCCAAACTGTACATTAATCTTTTCAGTTGATGACATTTAGTTTTTTTTTCTTGTTATAAAGTTATTTCATTTCTGAGAAGAATAATTGTCAATATTTTTGTATTATTTCGAACTATTGTTCTCATCTTGGTTGATATAGACATTATTATAGACAACGTTTCGACCTAGTATCCTCAGATCATCATCAGGTGTCCATGGATTGGCTGATATGGCATATCTATTGGTTAATGTGATATTTTGTCCTTGGAATATTAGTTACTTTTCGTTCTTGCCGAACTGGTGCGTCACTATCAGATCCAAGGATTAAACTCATGACCGCAACATGGCAGTAACTCATTTAAATCTAACTCCTAAATCTACTCCCGAAGTCTATAATAATATCTATATGAACCAAGATAAGAACAATAGTTCAAAATAATACAAGAATAACGAGAAATTCTTTAGATATATTCTAACATTACTCTGTAAAGTTCACATACCTATTGTTGTCTATGAGTAAAATGGCCTGTTGCTACTGTCTTGGATGTTTAGGTAGCTAAGGGAAAGGTGTTAATCCAAGTGATCACACATCTACTTTATTTCATTATATCTCTTAATATCTCTTAATCCCCTCATCAGATTTTGGCAACCACGGTGGTTATATTATGAAAAATTATTAGTGAAAAGACAGAATTCGAAATCTATTACTCTATGTTGCTTTTAATGTTTCTACTCGAATACAAATATCAAAATGTCTTTACCTTATAGACCCAGTATTTCGTCTGCTAAGATCATCAAAAGTATCATTCATGAGTCGGTTACACGTTTCAGGAAGGAAGAAATACGAAACACCAGCTAAAATGCAAACAATTCCCATTGTCAGCAAAGGTAACGAGTCACCAAATCTTCCAGCGGCAAGGGCTCGCTTTTGTAAATAGGAGAAAAAAATAAAGTGTAGAAAGTTCCTTGAAATTAAAATTTAATAATCATAATTGTACTGAAATTTTACGTTTATAGGTTTTCTATAAAAATGTAAATTTAAATACAATATAATTTTTCCTACAAGTTGACAGTTAGAAAGACATTCTCACGGGAATGTGTTAGTGATTTCTAATCTTGAATATTCAGTTTCTAACATTCTAACATATAATGGGTAAATTCCGAATGGAAATTGTCTCTACCCTAGGAATATCTATCGTTGTGCGATAAAATTATAAGTGGCATTTTAAACGATAAGAATTTTCAGATTTTAAACGAGGCTAATGAAACATTAAGCCGAAAAACAGAGCAGAAAAACGACTAACCAAATTTAAAGTAATGTGATTTTAATAAGTACCGTAGTTTTAGAAAATATCAAATATTTTATACGGTGACATAAGTGATTTTATTATCGTGTTTTAGTCATAAAATCTTTTACTGTTCATAATGGCCAGTAGTCTTTGAATGCAATATTTCAGGTCGATAAAATTAGAAATGGAACTAATTATTTATAAATAATTGTGTGGATATATATATATATATATATATATATATATATATATATATATATATATCAAGGGAGGTAACTTATGTGAGTTTTTTCAGAGAGATGCAAAAAAAAATCTTTTAAAATAATCAAATTAGTTATCTCCCTTGCATAATGTTAAAAGATATTTTGAATTTATGGTCTTAACACATTCTTAGATATGCAACACCTGAATATGGTCTCAGATGAGATTGAAAGTACTTGGAAAAATGAAAATTATTTGAAAGAGACATTTGGAATGTTTCTTAATCAATTTTCTACGGCCATTAAGAAATTAATTCGTGGACTTGAAAGAATCAAAACGAAATATATGTACCATCATCATGATGTATGGAGCAATGACACCACCAAATCTGGCAAAGGTCGACAGAGCTCCAAGTGCTCCGTTTCTCACACAGGTGGGGTACAATTCACAGGTGTGTAGGAAGACAATTGCAAATGATCCTGTAACGCACAACTTGCTTATAGTAGCCAGTAATGTTGTAGTCCATTGTAAATCTGGATGAAGAAAGAAAAATAAGTTATACCAATTTAAAAATATCTGGTAAATATTCACAAAAGTTCTCAGTGTAAAAAACACAACGTAAAAAATTTAAATCATATCGTGCCACTTCGATATTTTTTTATGCAGCAACTATATATATATATATATATATATATATATATATATATATATATATATATATATATATATAGAGAGAGAGAGAGAGAGATAAGTGAGTCATATTAGAATCCTTCCGTAGTATAGGATCACAGCCTCTCTACGCTTGTTTTGTTAATGCGGTTAGACCCACGTTTTGAATTCAGAGTTATCCTTCTGCTATACAGAATGCTAACAAAGGCGAACGTGCCAAGTCTTCTCTCTTATTCAACCAATAGGCGGTGAGAGAAGAAATGTTTTCATTCTTTTTCGAGGAGTATTTGTGCGAAAATAAATTCATTTCCCTCAGTCGTAATGCCGGATTCAAATTCCGCGATGTTACGTAGACACTAATGCCATTCTTGAAAGAAACAAATACTCATGTGTGTTGACTTGAAATACGCATCTACATTTGGCAGTAAATATAATAATAATAATAAGAAGAAGAATGACAATGATAAAAAGCAGCACTAATGGTGGTAGAGATGGTTATGAAGTGATTCTTCTTAAAGGTGGTAGCAGCAGTACTGATAGTGAAAATAATAGTAGGTACATAAAGTATTAACAACAATACTAATAGTGAAAATAGTAGTAGTTTTTACAAAATAATAATTTTGAATTGTTAATGGTTTTATCTCTCGTGATGGCTGTACTAATTGTTATGGTGGTGGTTGTGTCTGTAGGGGTGGTGGTAGTGTTGGTAACAGTGCTAGTAGTGTTATCGAGCTGTGTTAATTGTTATAGTGGTGATTGTATTTATGAGGGTGGTGGTAGTGTTGGTAACAGTGCTGGTAGTGATATTGATTCCTGTTGGTGATTATGTTTGGGTGGATTTCGTGTTCTTGTGTTTTAATGTTCTTATTACTATCATTATCATTACCATGGTTACTTCAACTATTATCATAATTGCCATTCTTATTATTGTAATATATATTTTTGTCATTATTATATTATCGTTTCCATCATAAATAAGACTAAATTTACCGTTTATCATAACCAATAACATATCAATAATTATTATTAATATATCAATAATAATATCACAGTTACTATTACCATTACCATAATCACAATTGTTAATAATACTCCATCAGTTAGCGTTGCTAAAAATACAAACATCATCATCATCATGTCCACAGACAGAACTTAACCAACGTGATGGTAGTGGACACAGACCAATGAGTGTGGGTACTCGTCTCTATATATGTAGGTATGTGTGAGGAAATGTGAGCTTCTCTGACGGTGCGAACGGCCGATCTGAAAAACGTCAATACCACCCCCACCTGTTCCTCCCTGTTAAGAGAACATTGCTACATATGTAACGCTACAGTCTCGACACTGAACTAGAATGACAATTGCGTATATATGTATGCCCCAATGCATAGATGTGTATCTGTGCCTAACATCAGATTATTTATATGGGTGTGTTAGGACGAATTCATATGCATATACCTGCATGTATGTGTGTCTATGTATGTGAGAGTGTCATCCCAAACAAACGCAGAAGAAAATTAAAAAATAATCAAACACAAATAAGCATAAATAGATCCACTTAAATAAATAGACCAGTTTGTCTATATATATATATATATATATATATATATATATATATATATATATATATATGTACTGAGAGAGGGATATATTTTATATATATATATATATATATATATATATATATATACTGAGAGAGAGAGACAGAGAAACAGAGAGCTAGATCCTCAAGCAAGCCGATAATGCCACTAAGACACCAAGTGTTAGTGTGGGCTTTAGTAAGGAGAAAGGATTATCAAAGTACAGATTTCATGAAAACAGAAGATGACAATTGACTTTTAACATTTTTGAAGTCCGTAGATGGCAGGGGAACAAGAAATCGGACGGGAGTTCCACAGGCGAGTAGTGCAAGAAACGAAACTATTAGAATAGAACTTACCGTTGTATCTGACTTCTCTGAAAATGCAGTACATAGCCTTCCTTTTGTGATTATAACTTTATAAAATGAATATAACCTGTCTTTTTTTTTTAAATATATATCTATCTATATGTGTGTAAGTACAGGAATGTGAATAAAAAAACATAAATCTTTTTTTTCTTACCATCTTCAGCGTATATAAATGGAAACAGTGTTAGGATTCCGCAAATTCCCCCGAAAAACATGAAGGCAATATATAGCTTTTTTCTGCCGAAACGGTCCAATAAAAATATACACGTGAGATACGCAGGAACCTCTACAAGAGCACCAAAGAAGAAATTCAGGAAGATGTTTCCACTCAGATGTTCGGTGTTTAACACTAATCCAAAATACACAAAACTAACCGCGCACCTGGAATATAGTTTGAAAAAGAAAAAAATATAATTCTGAAATAGAAAACAATGAATGCGTTGCATTTGTTATTGGCTTATTTTTGCAGCTCATTCGAAAACAAAGAATTTTTGTTTCCTCTAACAGGCAGCGGACTTTTAATTATGCAAACCGGTAATTTTAAACAAAATTTTAAGAGATGCTTATAATAGGAAGAAAATATAATTCGGTAAATGAAATATATCTATTTAAAGAAATTCAGTTTACTTTGGTTTGTGAATCTCAAATAAGGCAGATATATTTTATTATGAAAACGATAATGCATTAAAACTTACAATCCTACAGTATAGGGCTAAGTTCACAAACAAACACTTTATTCCATTAAAATTTAATCCATTTAAATTGTTACAGAATGCGATGACCAGAGACAGGATGGTCAGCGATTGGTCAGAATAACTCGTAAGATTGGTTTTCCAACAGTGATGTATTGCCTTTGCCTAGGTATTGAATATGTGGCCTGTATTCAACAGAGGGTCACAAGAATGTTGAAGTGTCGATACGCATCCCAGACCCAAATTCAAGAGACAAAATAGATAATGTATTAAGCTTAAAACCGTGCATTGCAAAGCCCAATTGGGGAAATAGGATGAAGAAGATCGTGGCAATCTATCGTTACAGATCATTAATACTAATTAATAATAAGTTCACTCTTCGCTATTGTGACAGAATAATTTAATCTTTTTTTTAAATACATACACTTTTGAATAACCAGAGAACGAGAGAAATATTTTATGAAAGACAAGCAGCATTAAGATTCTGATAACTTTAGAATTCGGTATTCAAAATATTACCTTGCTTTTAGCATTACATCCTGAAAAGCATGAAATAAAATTGTGAATTTAAAGGAAAATCTTATCATTACAACGTTCTTCATAACTAAAATATTCCTAAGTATTTTCTTACTAAGTATTTACGTAAATATATTTTAGACTAGAAGAAGTGAACAGGTATGAAATATCCATGAAAACTGAACTCATGACTGTAGCAAAAGATTTGACGAGATTATTTTCTGTCTGGATTACTAGGATGTGGAATTATCATTATTTACACTATTTACATTCGGACTACTGTCCTCATCTTTGTTGTTGTTATGTTTAAGCCGTTGTGCTCTCTGGCCATCATCATATCGAGGTGGGTAACCTACAGGCAATTCACAACTGAGCCATTTATTTAATCTACTGGTGTAGACTATACTCGTCCACTGCCCATTTTGGTATATCTCTTCAAGTTCTTATTTATTTAGTCGAAGTACACATTGCCAATCCCTGGGATTGAACTCTCTCACCAAATTCACGAATAAACGCTTAAATCCACTAGGCTGAGGAGAACTTGGAGACTTAAACCTAGCCTTCCTGCTCATGAGTGCCGCTGCTGCTTGTAATGCATGTCTGCATTTTCTCTTTTTGTTACAGCTGAAAAAGGCAAATGACAACAGCGGCCAAAACGTTGTTGCTGTTGTTGTTATCCAAATAGTCCGAACGTCAATACTAACAAGACTAGCTTGCCAACCTTCAAAGTATTTTGATGGTTACCAAATAATGGACCTAAATTTTTATAGCGAAATGCACGTCAATCAAATGGACATGTTATAAACGCTAATAATCGGGGCAGGAATGATGAATATAAATATTTTCCCGTGTTTAATGAACTTAAAACGCTGTTCAATATTAAAATCATGTTCGTGAAATATAACATCAAAAGGTTTACCAAATTTGAGAGAGGAGAGTAATCAGTTGCAGATATAATAGTCTCAAGTGAGGTGAAGAAAACATGTGTGCACAATAAAACTCTGCCTTTCTTTGGTTTCAAAGTCGAAAAGCATCAACAAAGAGAAATTTTAACTTACTTCTTTCATTAGTGTCGCTGTTTGCTAAACCCTTTATTAGGGACCCACTTTCAAACTCGAAATACCACACATTCATATTTTTTGATGTTTTAAAAACAAAAGAAATCCCTAATATGTAGTGAATTCTATAGTTACTGGACGCCCTATAATTATGACCTGGTGACGGTAAATTAATTTAAATTTCAGATAAATATAAATCTTATTTCATAAATAAATATAAATCTTTACATAAACTTCATCCTCATTAATTTTCCGCAGTATTAATAAATAATATTTTTAAAAATTACTTCAAGATGTCAGGCCAAATAACAAGCAGTATTCATCAGGGAAATGTGTCTTAGTAGAATACTGTAAATTATAATCCAATGCTTGTTTACCTAAACCTAATAATCACTGTACAAAACTTAGCGTCATGTGCGATGAAATTTATCGTAAAGAAATACTTATAATTGGCGGAAGTGGGATAATTCAGTCATCTACATAATTTATAAAATTATGAATAATGTATATTATTCTTTAATATCGCTAAATTTGTAAAGAGAAACAAAATTATTCTCACCAGTTGAATATCATTATAACGGTCGTTTTTAGAAGTTGGGGAATTGTAAATATTTTCCATAGCTTAACATTCCGATCTTCGACCATTGATATTTCTATTTCTTCTAACTTGCAAATGAAATCACGCTTATTAAC